CCCTTTCTGCAAAACAAACACAAGAAAGTTTGGAAAGTGTTTTCCTGGAAACCACTTTTCAGAAAACAAATATAGCTAAAAAAGAAAATACTTTCATGAAAACCAAGCCAAATTTTTTTTTGATTAAAAAATATTTTCGTTGACCAGAAAGTGTTTTCCGTTGACTGGAAAATGTTTTCTATTGACTGGAAAGTGTTTTTTGTTGACCGGAAAATATTTTCCGTTTACCAACTTTCCTAATAACAAACAAATATAGAAAAGTTTGAAAAGTGATTTTTCAAAAACTGTTTTTTAGGAAACAAACATGGTCTTAAAAGCACTTTTCTTTCCTCTGTTGATGCTAGGTTGTAAATTGATAAAAAAAAAAGAGAAGAAAAAACGGGGAATTAACATAATAATTAAACTAATAAAGTTTCCTTTGCTGTAATTTCAAGAAATACTAATCCAAATATACACCTTTAAAAAAAATGTAACAGTTAAATTATTTTTGAATAATTATTGACTCTCGAGCTTATGTATTGAAAAAAATCGAGTATTTTGTCTTGAATTCAACTATTGACGCTATCATCACACGGTGCTCCATGTTGACGGTGTCAGATGTGGAAAATCAAACAGAGGCACGAATGGCAAGATACACATGCAAATCGTGGGTGTGTTGTTGCTATATATAAATAAATGTACTTGAGAGTCAAAATCACTAATAAATCTTATTGATAGAGTGGATTAATAATTAATACAACTGGCCTAATCAAGATTAGATAGATATGTATTTGATACAAGTATAATTTCAGAAGCCGTGCCCAGATAGATTTGGTGTTATAAAATAAACCATGACCAGGAGGATGTTTTAGAAGGAATTCTAGGGACACGTGTCAATCCAGGATAGAGAGATAGAGTAGCTGACCTGAGCTAGCAGACACGCGATTCGCATTAGCAGGGGAATAAACGGGTAAAAGAAAGTGACATGACATGGAAGATAAACAAGAGGAAATGACTTGGACGGCACGTGGAAAGATGGGATTGGATGAAGTGGTTAAGTGGCCTTTGGATATCGCCAAAGGTCAGGTGAGATTAGCGAAGGAGATTTGACATCGAAGTGGCAACCTGTCGCCGCTAGACTTTCAAAGAATATGCGATTCCGAGTCCGAGAATCCATGTTTAAATAAACAAAGGCATACAGTTTCGGTTAGTTATTAATATCTGCAGGAGAATGGAAACATTTCAAGTCAAATTTTCTCTTCTTTTAATAATCTGGGTGGTAAAGAAATGAGGATATTCTCCGAACTCTTTCAATATCCTGATTGAATTCTTTCTCAGATCGATTTATAGTAAACAGTTCATGACTAGGTTCGCATATTTACCAGAAATTATTATTTTTCTGAGTGAATAAAAAATGAGAAAAAATACTCATGTAGCAGTTTTATTTTAAAGTAATATTTATTATATTTTTAAGTAAAGATAAATGATAATAATAATAATAATAATAATACACGGTTATAAAATTATTATTATGAAAGTTGACTTAGCTCAAGAATTGAGTTTAACAAATTAACTTTCAAGTTAATAAATCAACTTAATATTTTATCATTTCAAGATTATTATCCTTTATAAAAAGCTTGAACAGTTTCAAGATTATTATCCTTAAATTAACTTCCAAGTCAATAAATCAACCTAATAAAATTTAATTATTAAAAAATAATCAAAAGCTTCTCTGATTTGCTACAATAATTTCTTTTATAATTTATATTAAAAATAATATTCTGAAAATACTGTAAACAACACTAACCTTATTTCTACAAAAAAAAAAAAAAAACCTTATCTTGTGAAAACACCAGTTATTTCAATTAATGGAACTGAGAATACGGTATCCCATGAAATTAATAGCCCTTTGGGGGTAGAGGGTAGTCATTAAGAAAGCAATAGGTGTCAAATGGGTCTATAAGACAAAGAAGAATGCAAAAGGAGAAGTGCAAAGATACAAAGCAAGATTAGTGGTGAAAGGCTACAAACAGAGAGAAGGCATTGACTATGGAGAAGTGTTTGCTCCAGTAGCCCGGCTAGAGACAATCAGATTGATGATCTCACTAGCAGCACAACATAGATGGAAGATCTATCAACTTGATGTGAAGTCAGCATTTCTGAATGGCTTCCTAGAAGAAGAGATCTATGTTGAACAACCACTTGGATACATTGATGATGAAAATGAAGGCAAAGTATACAAGTTGAAGAAAGCCCTCTACGGTTTGAAGCAAGCTCCGCGTGCTTGGAATACCAGAATTGACAGGTATTTTCAAGATAATGGATTTGAAAAATGTCCATATGAACATGCAATTTATGTGAAGAAAGAAGCAGATGGCAACATATTATTTGTGTGCCTATATGTTGATGACTTGATATTCACCGGCAACAATCCTACCATGTTCGAAGACTTCAAGAAAAGCATGGTACAAGAGTTTGAGATGACAGACATTGGTCTGATGGCACATTTTCTTGGCTTAGAAGTGGTGCAGAAAGAAGAAGGGATTTTTGTATCCCAAAGCAGTTATGCCAAAGATATTCTTGAAAGGTTCAAGATGGAAAGCTGCAATCTGGTATCAACTCCAGTCGAGAATGGAGTGGAATTGAGGAAAAGTAAAGTTGGAAATGTTGATCCAACTTACTTTAAAAGCTTGGTAGGAAGCTTAAGGTACTTGACATGTACCAGACCAGATATACTCTACGGAGTCGGACTGATCAGCAGATATATGGAGAAGCCAGACCAGTCTCATTTGAATGCAGCCAAGAGAATTCTTCGCTACATCAAAGGCACAATAAATGAAGGTATGTTTTATACCTCAAGTACAAATTTCAATCTTACTGGCTACTCGGATAGTGATTGGGGTAGAGATCTGGATGAAAGAAAAAGTACAACAGGGTTTGTATTTTTCGTGGGAGATACATCTTTCACATGGTCATCCAAGAAGCAATCAATTGTCACATTATCAAGCTGTGAAGCTGAGTATGTTGCCGCCAACTCAGCTGTATGCCATTTAATATGGTTAAGGAATTTGCTAAAGTTTTTGGGATTTCCTCAAGAAAATCCTACAGAGATTTATATCGATAATCGATCAGCGATTGCATTGGCAAAGAATCCGGTGTATCATGAAAGAAGTAAACATATTGATACACGTCATCACTTTATCAGAGAGCATGTAAAGAACAAAGAAGTCAAGCTGATATCCTGCAAGACAGATGATCAAGTTGCAGATATTTTTACCAAGCCATTGAAAAGAGAAGTGTTTATCAGATTGAAATTCATGCTTGGAATGACATCCCTCGATTGAGTTTAAGGGGGAGATTTGTTGAAATAAAACTCAATCTAGAAGGTCAAGGAAGGCAACCACAAGCTGTCACCGCCCAACTGTCCAGCCGCCGCCGCCAGCCGCCAGCCACCGGCCGCCAGCCGCTTTCACACCGTCGGCCACAACCGCCTTCACACTTGAAGGTTGAATTTTCTTGTTTTGATTTCGTGTATAAATAGATAGCTAAGCTTATGCAATTATGTGTGGAGAGATTGAGAGAAACACTAGAGAGAAAGAGAGAAAGAGAGAGGGGTTGTTGTAAGCTTTTGTTTATGTTATTGTAAGCTTTGTTCTGAAAAATAAAACAGTGTGTTTTATCCCCTCCGAGTGTTTCAAAGCCACCACAAGTGGTTTCTCCCACCAACACACCTGATACCATTGTTCAGGACTCAGCTGCACTGGCAATACAAGAATTGCTTAAGATTGCAGATTGTGAGGCATCACTGGATGGGACTGCTTCCCTGTCACAAGCAGCATGGAGGCTGGGCAGGTGGGACTTTACGGATGAGTACATCAGCGGGGCTGATCATGATGGTTTACTTTGTAGTGGTTCTGAAAGTAATGCTTCCTTTGACATGGATGTTGCAAAGATTCTCCAGTCCATGATGAAGAAGGATCAGTTCTCAGTTGCTGAGAAGATTGCACTATCCAAACAAGCTCTGACTGCTCCTCTTGCTGCTGCGGGCACGGATTCTTACGTGCGGGCTTAATTACCCGTTTATCGTGAAACTTCACCTACTACGTGAATTGGAGGACTTCCACACTCTTCTTGTTGATGATTCTTTCTTGGTCAAAAAATTCCATCTGGGTCATCTAGAATTCACTAAATTGATGGGGAATTGGGAACATCCGCTCAGATTTACTCAACCATCCCTGTGGGCAAGGGAGCCTCTTTTGGCTTTCCAAAGATTGGTATTTGGTGCCAGTAGTCTCGGTGCCCATGTTGGGATCTGCTGCTTCAGTATGCAAAGCTTTGTCGCTTGGCTGGTCACTATGAGACAGCAAACCGAGCAATTCTGGAAGCCCAGGCCTCGGGTGCACCTAATGTTCACATGGAAAAGGCCAAGCTTCTGTGGAGTACTAGGCGATCAGATGGTGCCATTGCAGAGTTGCAGCAAACTCTCCTTCACATGCCTGAACAGGTCGTAGGTGCTGCTGCTAGGTCTTCAATTACTAGCCTTTCATTGGTTCCATTGAATCCCCAACCTGCATTTTGTGATCCTCAAGCTTCGAGTGAGAATCTAGATATTGCAAAGACTCTACTTTTATATTCCAGATGGATCCATTATACGGGGCAGAAACAAAAGGAAGATCTCATAACTCTTTATGCCAGGGTGAGGGATCTGCAGCCTAAGTGGGAAAAAGGATTCTTCTATTTGGCTAAATATTGCGATGAGGTGCTTGTTGATGCCAGGAAACGTCTGGAAGACAATTATGAACAAGGTCCCAGACCGGTACCATTGACTTCCACTTCTATTTCTCCTTCAAACACTGAGAGGCTATGGTGGACTTACGCACCTGATGTACTTTTATTCTATGCCAAGGGGCTGCATAGGGGCCACAAGAATCTCTTTCAAGCTCTTCCAAGATTGCTTACACAGTGGTTTGAATTTGGAAGCATTTATCTAGAAATATCTAGAAATATTGGAAGTAATCTAAAAATCAATCATTGAATGATGTATTTCTAAGACATGAACACGATCAAAAAATACAAGAACGGTTAGAAGCAATAAAATATAACTAAAATCATATAAATTACACAATCTTTGTCATTCTAAATCAACAAAATTATTTTCTTTTAATTACAAAGAAGATATTTGAATTTAAAATCTCTTGAAATAAAAAAATGACATTTTTCACTCTTGTTTTCAAGATGTTGGCATTTTGACTCCTATTTAAAATTCCAACACCAAAAAAAAAAAAGAAAAAAAAAACACTTTTTAACTCAACGCAACACAAGGGATTATTAACAATAAAAGCAGAAATAAGCTCTCTCAAAATAACAAAAGTATATTTTCTCCCGAGATCAAAAGTCTATTTTACAAACAAAACCACATTTTCTCCTCCTTTTCTTCACTTTCCTCAAGTTTTTGAAACGAGGAGCTGCTAGAGTTACATGATTGTCACGCAGACATTGATATCTCATTAGAAAGGCGCGACAAAAGATTGCAACTCTCCACAGCTTAAATATATAGGTAAGGTGGTAGGTAGGATGACAAATAAAATAGTGTACAGTAATGGTAATGAGAAGGATGGAAAATGGCTGGTTCGATTAGCTTGTTGTTCAGGTTATGAGCATCTGCAAGACTTCCCTTTACTTTCTCCTGAGCACAGATAGAAATCGGCCAGGCGACTTCTCCTTGCGCCATTCACCATAATCCCCAACCTGGTATAAAAACTTGCAAGTCTTATTGCTTGTCATGAAAATGTACAGAAACATATATGATATATAAAGCCATTTGTAGCCGAAACCACAAATGCTAAATACCTCTTTTGCTATTTGTTGCAGGATCTCTATAATCTCCGAGAAGTCAGGCCTTAGAGTTGGATCCTGTTGCCAGCATTTTTCTAGCAGTTCGACAAGCTTTGGTTGAGTATTCTTGGGTATGGTAGGCCGTAGACCCTGAAACCACGTGAATGAAAATCACCACACAAATTCTTATAATCATGGACTCATCAAATGAAATAAGGGAAAAAAATGCTTGTTGGAAAGGATTTTTACCTTTTGAACCACTCCAACAGCTGCTTGTAAAGGGGTCAAGTATTCATATGGAATCTGGGAAGCCAAATACGCAAAAATGATCAATTTTGCAAGATCAGAAACTTACTGAAAAGAGAGGGGATATTATAAGAAAATGACCAGCAGTACCTTTCCAGTTAACAATTCCCATAACACGATCCCAAAACTAAATACGTCAGCCTTGTGGTCATACGGCTTGTGCTCAATGACCTTCATTGCAAGATAAAAGTTCTAAGAAAATTGCGAGATGAACCACTTAGAAGATGCATGGTGGTTGCCACCAGCACAACTAATGATGCATAAAATTTTCAACAAGAATCATGGGGGACGGGAGGGTAAAGCTATGGATTATTTAACAATGGTAAACAAGTGATCTCTCTCGGTGACAGCAAGAAGCAAATTAAACATTAAGAATAAAATCAAGATAGTTTGCACACTAGTACTGAAAAGGATATTGGTAAACTGGGAACACTTTCAGAATAAGGTGTAATGAAAACAAAGGTGTACCTCAGGAGCCATCCATCTATAGGTCCCAGTTTCCGCAGTCATAATTCCAGTCTGAGCTTTCACTCTGGCAACACCAAAATCAGCAACCTTGACTACCTGAAATGAAATTAACAGATGTTTCTTATAGATACACATACGGTACAAAGCTTCAGTTGAATTTGATTTATCTTCCTCCGTGATCATGATGAGAGTAGAAGATGTGGAGGAGGATGAAAAAGACTAGGTAAAAAACATCACTGAAGCCAATCGAATAGTAAACAAAGCACTTGCTGAAAAAATTAAATATGGTAAAGAAGAATCTTACTTCATTTTCATCCATGAGAAGATTTGCAGCCTTCAAATCCCTATGAATTATATTATTTTGGTGCAAGTAATCCATTCCTTTAGAAACATCTATTGCTACTTTAAGTAAATTTGGCAGCTTAAAAACACCCCTCTGCTTGTGTAGGTAGTCATAGACACTTCCTCCGTACATGAATTCTATTTACCAAGAAAAGAAAAATTAAGATACAAAATGTTGAATGGGGGATGAAAAATTAAAGGGAAAAAAAGAAAGAAATTCATACGAGGAATAAATAAACATAACATATGTTTCAAAACTCAGTGACATTTACCTGTTACAATGCACAAACTTGGAGGCTTGGTGCATGCACCGATAAATTGTACGACATTCTTATGCCGAACTTTCCTACAAGTTCAAAGAATATGTAAAAATAAGGAAAAAACCTAACCCAAGAAACAGCCTAGAGTTGTAGAAAAACTATGTAGCTGAATCTGGGAACACTTTCAGAATAAGGTGTAATGAAAACAAAGGTGTACCTCAGGAGCCATCCATCTATAGGTCCCAGTTTCCGCAGTCATAATCAGGCTTGAGAATTTTGATAGCCACTTCCTGACTACAGTATGTACCTTTGTACCTAAGCAAATAGGATGAAACAGTTGAATAAGAAACCAAACATCAACAGAAATTGCATCTAAAAAACATTTAACTTACAGATCACCATATGATCCAGAGGCAACTTTGTTCTCAAACTTCAAATATTTAGGATCAATTTCCCACACATCAGTCCCGTCATTGGGTATTGCAACATGATTAGTATCGTATTTAGTCCTAAATTGCTCGTGATCCTGTAAACACATTTAAAGTAAATTGGAATGCATATCGAAACAAGACAATGAATGAAACCGCACAAGGAAAAACATGAATAGGTTCTAGTCAATTGATGTGGTGAAGAGATTATGGCATAAACTAGACATTATCAATTATCTTATTGCATTGGAAAACTAAAGAATGAGCAGAAGAAAAATCCGAGAACTTCAAAATGGTACCCATCAGCAACCTATGGTGAATTATTGCTGAAGTAAATTCAGTTACATGTGTTCTACCATATTCAAAACATTACTAGTAGCGTTATGCCTGTCATATACAAGGCAAATCATCTAATTTGAGGAGGTTGCTCGTGGAAGAAATAGATGAAACAATTTTAAAATGATGAAGATAAAAAATACATGTCAACAAAACAAGGTTCCTAACAGACAACTTAACCATCGGGATAAATTCTTATTCAATACATGGCCTGCTCTTGCCCATTTCCAGTACTATAAGAGTTTCTAATTGGGAATTCCTGAATTTAACTCCTTTTTTCGTTTTCTTGTCACTAATTAACTTGTGACTAGGTTTTATTTCTACCAACAGCAGCCCCTCCTCCACCCCTAAAATAACCAATTGGTAAAAAGATCTGAAACTGGATGAAGGAAATTACATCAAATATTGGAAAGCAATTTATAAAACATTTCATTGCATCCCGCCCAATTCACTGGCTTTAGATATAATTAACTTCAATTTGAGATGATCATTTTAGCAAATAGACCATTGGTTAGAAGAGAATATTCTGCTTGCAGTATCTTGCAAAGCTTGCCCGATCCTCATCAAATAATATGACATCTCCACTAAACAAGAAACAAGAAAATCAAGAGACTGGAAATATAATCAATTCAAGTACAAATAATTTCATAAAAACTCTTGTAGAACACCACATTCAACAGTGAGCATTGTGAGTGAGAGAAACCCAGATTTATTATAAGCTGCAAACTCCATAAGAAGACACTTGCCATCACTACAAATCAACTCAGGGAATTACCTCAATCTTGGAAACTTCCTTTACCAACGCTTCTCTGAGCTGCTCCGTTTCCTGAAAATTATGAACAGTGTGTTAATCGATCAAGTTCGTTGTGTATTTCAAATATGTTCCTGATTAATGGAAGCCTTATGTAATAAAAGGTGTGTATGGCAAGTACCTCATATGGCCAACCATCAACAACAAATACATCTAAGGAGTAGCCATCAACTGTCGAAAATGCGTGCGCTTCTTGGATGTTCAACCCAATGTCAGCAAGTAAGGAAGTCAGCTGTAAATTCGCGAAACACCAATGACCTCATAAATAACTAGAAGCACAATAAACGACAAATTCATTAAACCAATGGTTAAATGTTTATTTTAGCAGTATCAGACACTATCACAGACTTCCTGCTTACATCAAATGTCAGTCATTCATGCTAATTGACCAGCCAGTAAAATGCATGCTACCAGCTGGTGGAATAAAACTCAAAACGAATCCTAAAATTTGTTTGCAGTTCTTCCAAATTCAATACCAAAACAGCCTTCAAACTGAAAGAAGCAGCAGAATAAACGAATATTTTCCCCAGCAAATTGAAACAATGATTGATAAATAAAATGAGCTTGGCTTACTTCAACAAGCATGCTTATCTTACCTGACTCAAAAGTTTTCGCTTGTCATCAGTTGAAAAAGTAATTTCATGCATGGGCCTACATCATTGCCAACAAGAAAAATAGTGTAAACTTCAAAATCCAAATCTAGTAAATCATGTATATGAATATTTGCATGCATGTATATATATATATGTTTAGGAAAGTGCATACTCCATGGCATTCTCAATCAGATTGAGCGCCATTTCAAATATAGGATCTCATATTCAAAGAGAGCCCATTACTCTACCATATTCAAGGATTAGAAACTTATCTGAATTCTGATTTTTACTCAAGTCAGTCGATTAAAGACAATGATTAATATAAAAATGATCTTTGTTAAAACTTTTCAAAAGAAAAGGTGAAAGTGAACTAACAAAAGGGAAAAAACCCCAGATAGATCCTTATTGGAATCAAGTTAACTCTACCACAATAGCATTTTGAATGAGAGAATTACCTGAAGAACTTTGAATCAGCACACACAGAATTATCACCATCTTGATCATCAAATTTATTTGCCTCAAGTGCCAGTGCTTCAAGATTAGGTGATGAGCCAAAGGCTGGAGGTGGATGCATGCTGACAATTGAAAACAAGATAAAAATGTCAGCAATATTAATGAAACTTATTGATTGGAGTGGTCAAAACCACTAAATGCATCGATTAAGAGGATCCTAAGACAGATAATGATCTCAACAGCATACATCTTTCTTTGGGCTCCTTCCTTACAAGGAGAGTCTTGAAGGCTAGAGTCAGCAGAATTGTCATCGGAAGTAGGATGAACCTGCATGTGGGAGATGCAGTTGATTGCACTTGATAAATTAAAAAGTTTACAAGACTCAATGCAAGAAAAGAAGATAACAAATGCAAACGAGGTTTGCAATCCACATTTGGCAGAAATTCAGCTGCGTTTATTGAACTCAAACAGATCAAACCAGCCTCACAGTGTGAAATGCAGCACTTATTCGAAGACATGTTTACAGAAGATTCCTTTCATAGCTAGTAACTAAACCAGTATTATACTCGTATATTTATAGTTGTATCACATTTACTTCTACATCAACAATGTGGAACCAAAAAAAAATCAATTTTGATGAACACAAAAACACAAAACTTCGAACTCCAAATTCTCCACAAAAGATAGGATCCTTCAAGACCTAAAAACATCTGCCGAAAACTTGTATCATGAACAAATCCTCGCGTAGTCTTAAAATCTACAGCCTAATCAATCGCAAATTCTATTCATAATCAAATCTTCACAAATTAATATCATGAAGCATCGGTAATAAAAAAAACATAACAAGTCAGTAAATACACGTTACCTGTACAAGGCGAATTTCAATCGCCGGTCGATTAGCAGGATCGTGAGCCAAACGCAGCAATCTCTTATGCGTTAACACATCTTCTGCTCTTTCCACATTCACATCTAAGGCATATCTACACCACAAAAGGTACCAAAATCAGAATTATCCTCCAAAAGATAAAAATAAAAAGACAGAAAAAGCTAATAATTCAAATAAAGAAAAAAAACAAAAAATTTTAATTTCCGTAACGAAGAGGCAACACCAAATCACATACATACACATATATCGTATAGATACACGTACACGTGCCGAAACTAAGACACACAACACACACACACGTACCTGGTAGGGAGGCGGTTGAAGTGAGTCCAGAGTTGATCATCAAAACCAGGTAGATTAGCTTCTTCGTGATTAGATTCTTTAAGACGACGAAGAATCGCATTGTAAACCTCAAGTTTCTGCTGCATCCTTTGCTGTTGTTGCCTTCCTTGTAACACCGAATCAGAAAATGTCGTGTTCGCGTTCTCGTTCACTCTGCTGCCGCAGCTCTCATTACTACCACCCTCCTCCATCGACATAACCACCATTTTAACAAAAATAAATAAATAAAGCAAAATGCAGAGAGAGAGGTTGTGAATTTTTTTATTTATTTCGCTTCTTACGTTAAAGAAAAAGGGAGGTAGGTTTAAGAGGAGATTATGGGGAGGGTTAAGAGAGGATTAAGGTTTAATTAATCTAATATTATGGATTCATAGTTGGTGCTGAAGAGAGAGAGGCTGCGTTGTGAGTTTTTTTGAATGGGTTTTTGGCTTTCCTTCCGCTGCTCTCTAAATATGTAAGCTGTTTAGAGGCGTAGTGCGCCCCCATAAGAATCAAGACGGTGTAAATTCGTACCCTCGCTCGTTATCCTCCCCTAAATAAAATATTAGCGGGGAGAGTTATATGCTGTGTGTACATTACATCAACTTCCATGCATCTTTACAACATTTTTTTTTTTGTTTTGTTTTTTCAATCCATCTTTTTGACTTGGAATCATTCCGTTGATGCTATTTAAATCAGAATGTTTTGGGACTGAATGCAGTGCATGAGTTTAAAAAATGGTTTGAATTTTAGAAAAGCAATATTTTTTATAAACTATTTCATTTTATTATGTGAATTTTAATCTTATAAATGCATGAATTCGACCAACTAATTAAAAGATATTGTTTTAATATTTAATTAAAAATTAAAAGAAGATGCCATGTTTGCTTCATATGAAGACAAGCCCAAGTTACTTTAATTGAATAATATTTTGTAGTTACTTAATATTGTGCTATCTTAAACAAAAGAAATAGGCACTCACGGTTGGATGATAAGGATGCTAATATATATTGGCTTATGGTTTTGGGTTTATGACAAAAATGGCATCATCATGTCGCGAGGGAGAGAGTCTCTAATTAATTATTACAGATTGATGTGTGGAATTAATGAGGAGTACTGCAGAAGCTCATCGAGCCGACGAGGATGATGGAGCGGAGGGGGAGAGCCATTTAAGATGGTGGAAGAACGTTAATTTCTTGCATTGCTAATTTATTTATTTATTTATTTATTGTTATTGTTATTATTATTATTATTATCAAGAAAGATTTCCATTTTCAATGAATCCCTATGAATCCGTGATGCCACCTTCTCACCTCCCATTTTAAACGATGAAACTTCCCCCATTTCCACCCCTATTAAGCTATAAACGTTCATAAAAGGCAAATCCAATGGCTCCCGCTGATTCTGGATAAGCTCACCTTGGAAATACCATAATGTCCATAAATGTTTGGTTTATGTTTCTATATATTTGAGTTATAATTAAGGGGTGCATCGAAATCTGGTAGAGGCTGGTTTTTATTTTTAAATGTATTAAATAATATTTTTTTATTTTTTTAAAATTTATTTTTGACATTGAGATATTAAAATGATTTAAAAATATTTAAAAAATAATTTAAAATAAAAAATATAAATGTTAACAAAAAAAAAGGAGGAGGATCAACTTCAATACTACCAATCAGTGTAGAAATACTCCATGAAGATGCGGCACCCACTTCAGTCCAAAATAAAACCATAAGGTGGCACTCCTCAATGCTTGGAGCAAGGGCTTGTCAAAGGGGTTAAGAGTAATTGCATGTTGATGGTTATCTTTATCTTTTTTCTGATCAACCAAGAAACATAATTTCCCTTGGAGTATTTGCCATGAAACACGAGGAACATGGACCAAGGAGAAAGCTAAAAGAGAGTGCTGGTGAGTAATGAGATTCATGGGAGAGGTGTGGATTTTGGACCAGTTAGATGAACTTACTTAACAGCACTTTTCTTTCCTCTGTTGATGCTGGCTTGTAACGTGACAAAAATTAAAATAAAAAATAAAAAAGAGAGAAGAAAGAATGGGCAAAATAATTAAACAAATAAAGTTTCCTTTGCTGTAATTTTAAGAAATACTAATCCAAATATACACATTTTAAAAAATGTAACGGTTAAATTATTTTTGAATAATTATTTACTCTTGAGCTTATTTATTGAAAAAAATAGAGTATTTTGTCTTGAATTCAAAATAAAATGATACCACGACAAAAAAAATATGCAATAAATATGACAGTTTTGCTATTTTATGTTATTTCAAGCAAAGAAAGAAGCAAGCAAACAAAAAATACTTTTTCATATATTTTTAATCATACTTTTTTATATATTTTTAATCATGGATATTTAGAGATGAGTTTATATTTATCTTGACCAGTTTTTTAAAATTTTAAAATTAATAATTATATAAAATTTAATAAATTCGCCGAGACAACTAGAATCTAAATAATATTCTCTTGGAATTTTAATGAGATATTTCTTAATTAACAGCTAGATGTGCTAAAAAAATATGGTCTCACAAGGTCTTGCTCGCCGAGCATGATGCACGTTATCATCACACGGTGCTCCATGTTAACGGTATCAGATGTGGAAGATCAACCAGAGTCACGAAGTGCAAGATACACATGCAAATCGTGGGGGTGTTGTTGCTATAAATAAATGTTCTTGAGAGTCAAAATTATCACTAATAAATCTTACAGATAGAGTGGACTGATAATTAATATAGACATAATTCAAGATCTTGAAATGAAGCTTTTAAACACAATTCGCCTAATCAAGATTAGATTGATTTATATTTGATACAAATATAATTTCAGAAGCCGTGCCCAGATAGATTTGGTGTTAATAAAATAAACCATGACCAGGACGATCTTTTAGATAGAATTCTAGGTCCACGTGTCAATCCAGGATTGGGAGATAGAGTGGTTGACCTGAGCTAGCAGACACGCGATTCGGATTGGCAGAGGAATAAACGGGTAAAATAAAGTGACATGACATGGAAGATAAACAAGAAGAAATGACTTGGACGGCACGTGGAAAGATGGGAGTGGATGACGTGGTAAAGTGGCCTTTGGGTTTCACCAAAGGTCAGCAGATAGATTTGACATCGAAGCGGCAACCTGTCGCCGCCAGACTTGCAAGAATATGCGATTTCGAGTCCAAGAATCCATGTTTCTAGTGGAGTTTAAATAAATGAATATTTAAGCTTATCCGAAACCGCAACAAAGGCATGCAGTTTCGGTTAGGAGAACGGAAACATTTCAAGTCAAATTTTCTCTTGTTTTAATAATCTGGGTAGTGAAGAAATAAGGATATTCTCCGAACTCTTTTAATATCCTGATTGAATTCTTTCTCAGATCTATTTTTAGTAAACGGTTCGTGACCAGGTTAGCATATTTAGCAGAAATTATTTTGTTTTATTTTGAGTGAATAAAAACCCAAGAAAAAAAAAACATGCAACATAGTTGCTTTTTAAAGTTATTTTTATTATATTTATTAAGTAAAAATAATAATAATAATAATAATAATAATAATATTAAAATTATAAAATTTAGTATAAAAGTGGGTTCTGTTTAAAAATTAAGTTTAACGGGTTAAATCGCAAGTTATTTTATATTATTTTTAATAGTTTTTTATAATAGTTTTTAATAAAAAATTATTTTTTTTAATAATTTTAATGTATTAATATTAAAAATATATATTAACAAATATTATTTTAATTAAAAATATCAATCATGTTATTAACAAAAACACATTGCATGGAGTTAAAAGACTACCAGCACACCCTGTTAAGATTTTAGACACCATTTGTTTTGTCAGTTGAATCAAGTTTTTTATTTTTAGATTTTTTAATATATTGATTTTAAAAACAAATTATGTGTATATATATATATATAAACAATTTGAAAAAACATCCTCATACGATACGTTAGATAAACATGAGATGTCGGTAATGAGGTGGGGACCATTCTGACTAGGACAGTGCAGATTTAACAGGACGCTGCTGGAAAGTTTATCATAGAATTTCCTTCCTTTTTCGAACTTGGAAACACCCCCCGAGTACATGGAATCACTTTTTTAGATGGGCCAACTTCGATTCAGATAAAGTTTGCCGGTTCGAATATTTATGTAGATTATATTAGATTAGATGGCTATACCATCATCCGGGCAGCTCTATAGTTTTATAGTTTTTATACAAATATAACTTTAAAAAGTCAACAATATATTGCCTTTGCAAACTACCGTCCAAAGAGATATATTGAAAATTTATTTAATTAATATAATCTAAATAAATTATAAATTAATAAAAAATTAATCTTAAAAAACCTTAATTTTTCTATTAAAAACCCTTTATTTTTCTATATTTAATTCTTGATTTGTGGTGTTAAATTAAATATTAATAAAGATGAAAATTGATTCTTATTAACTATTCAACTTTTTAATTTTAAAAATCCACAATAAACAAAAAAGTCAAAGAATAGTTTCAAATTTGAGTTTTTTTTCTCTAGATTTTTACATACTTTTTCTCACCTTATTTTTAGTAATTTTCTTCTTTTCATGCTTTAATTTTTCCCTCTAAAATCCAAAGTTTAGTTTTCCTTTTAATCTCTTTGGAACTTTTGGAATTGAATTCAATTTCACAAGTTAAATCTGTTTCTTAGTTTGAACCCTCAGAGGATATGGGTTTAAATTTTAAATGGAATTCAATTACTAAAAAATGGTCAAAAGTAAATAATATTCTTTGATTTGCTAAAATAATTTCTTTTATAATTGATATTAAAAATAATATTCTGAAAATACCGTAAACAACACTAACCTTATTTCTACAACCAAAAAAAAAAAACCTTATTTTGTGAAAACACCAGTTACTTCAATTAATGGAACTGAGAAAACGGAATCCCATGAAATTAATAGCCCTTCGGGGTAGAGGGTAGTCATTCGCAATGCCCTCCACCAAACGAGAATAACTGTTCATTTGACTGTGGGCTTATTTGCATGGCCCTTTTACTTAGATCATACAAAATTTAAATTTAGACGGCGCTAAAATAAGCACACACTTTCTATTCAATCTCGGCCCGTAGATAAAGCCCTGCCCTTAATATTATTAGTGGACAAGTCCCCTGTCTGTAGGCTATACAATCTCTGGAGGTGGTAGCAAATTTTGTTTTAGTCAGGGTTGCTGGAATAATTTATTGCTGTGCGCAAGGTTTTTTTAGGTTTTACATACAATGGACACGCACTGTGTCGCATATAGGGTAAGTTTATATATATATATATATAGCTAATGTTTTTAAAAATAGAAAAAAAATTAAATTGAATGAGAGTTGATATGATATGGCTCGGTTGAATTTGTGGATCTAAAAATAACTCAAATAACTCATAAAAATATTCTTTTAAACAAAAAAAATCAAAGTGATATTTTTAAAAAATATTAAGATAATAACATATCATATTAACTTTAGTCAGCCTGAGTTAATATGTTAAACCTATTACC